TGTTGCATTTGGGTGTATTGTATTACAAATTCTTTTCTGTACATTTCATTTTGATGTTTAATAGTATGAAATACACCATTGTACTCTTAAGTACAATGGTCCTAAATAAATGTTTACTGTAATTTAGGCAACTCATTGGACATAATTACACTGAAATATACTATCAAGATGATGGACTGATTGTGAGCAGAAATCCAAATTTAAAGGTAACTTAAATTTTACTGTAATTTAACAATAACTATGATCAGAACAGCATACTAGCATATGTCCCATACTATTCCTGCAGTATATAGCACATATATACAGTCAAACCAAAATTTATTCAGACACCTTCAACATTTCACACATTATCACAGTTTATTCGCTATAGTCCTTCAGAACAAATTCATCTTGATAATGTCAGATAGCACTTAAGCAAAACATGGTCAGGTCAATGTGTCTAAATAATTTTTGGTCCTACATTTTTATCGATTTTACTGGTAGTCCACTGTATGAAGAATTTTTGGGTATAATATGTCACAGTTTACTTTATTTTGCTATCCTCACTTACACAAATGAACTATAGTGTCCTACACCCACTAGTAAAATAATATTAAAAAATTATATCTGGTGTCTGAATCATTTTTGGTTTGACCGTATATATATATATATATATATGTGTGTGTGTGTGTGTGTGTGTGTGTGTGTGTGTATGTATAATAATAAAAAATAGAAGAGTGTTTAATTAAATTACATTTTAAAAAAACAATCTAAAATAAACAAATCTGAGCTGGATACATACCAGGGGATTTGTTTGTTCCTGTGGTGTTTCTGTCAGTGGTGTATCACTCTCCACATGATGCTCATCTTCAGTCTGCTGATGAAATACAGAAGGCAAGACTTTAAAATAGGTGGTATGTTTTTTATTTAGTCATTAGTGACATTATATAATGCTAAACAGATCACGTCAAAATATATTGCAGTTTCATGCAAATATAACGCAATGAATAAATAATATTACTGGTGCTTCTGACTTCTGAGTGTAAATGTTCAGCGCAGACGCTCACCTGTGTGAAGGGACCGGCTGCGGTCTGGAGGATGCAGACGCATGCGATGACGACTGCAGCAGCGAGAGCCACACGAGCCAACTTCATTTTCACTTCTGCAACGCTGACGGTAGTCCTTCTCTTGAGGAGCTGATGTAGAGGATGATATCTGCTGAAGTGATTCCTCTGTTGCTCTTTTAGGTTTACTCTTTCTTCTGCTCATGCTCTGATATTTATATTGAGCTCAGAGAGCGTCGTTTTCCCCCTTTGACCTGCGTGACTCTTCCCATCAGCTCTTACTCAACTCTGGAAACTCTCAACAGCTTCACATGTGGAAATTACGTCAAATGTCCAGCATGGAGATGAATGAATGAATGAATGAGTGAATCAATCAATCAATCAATCAATCAAAGAAAGAATTAGTTTTGATTACCAATAAGCATTGCACTAATAAAACGATTCCCATGTTAGTTTACCTGAACTCTGTAGCAAAAGAAAGAGCCCCGATACTGATAAAATATCAGTTTTAAATGAAATATTGGCAAAAGTTATGTTTCTAATGACATTATATTTTCCTTCTACTCCTAAATCAATAGAATCCATTGGCTGTCCATTAAAGTATAATATACAGCAAGACCTTTAAAAACAAACAAACAAAATGAACATCAATGCCATCAGTCTTCAGTTCTCTGTTTTCTTATCATATAGATTGATATTTTTGCTTTCCCAGAAGAAATTATATGCTTTTTCATTATATAACACCCCCCACCCCCCCCCAAAAAAAGTATATATATATATATATGTGCGTGTTAAAAAAAACAAAGAAGAAAAAAAACTAAACGAAAGAAAAGATCAAACTAAATAAAAGAAAGATCAATTATTAAATAAAATTATTGGTAAAACTTAATAACTTAAATATATAATATTATAAAATTAAATATTTGCTTAAAGGCTCATTGGTTTAAGGCACATCTAAACAGAAATATGAATAAATAAATAAATAAATAATGTTAAATAGAAAAATAAAATAGAAAATAAAATACATTTTAATACATTTTTAAAATAAATAATAAATTCAATAATTAAATAAATAGAAAAAATGCTACATAATTGAATGTATTGTAATGTGTTTTAACAGTAACACATTCTCTTTCCTTGTAATGTTCATGTTAGAAAATGTAACCTATATTCTTTGTGTTTGTGCTGTTTCCAGAGAGATTGTCATGCTTCCTGCTTATGTGGCACTGTCTTTTGTAAAGCTGATATTTATTCTGAAAAATGCTCTACAAATAAATTTGAATTGAATTGAAAATGTTTAATATTCTAAATATTTTTATGAAAAACAATTCTAAAAATTAATTTGAATTGTATTGGAAATGTTGAATGTTCTATGTTAAATGTGTGTGTTTATCAATATTTTGAATTAGTTTTTATTTTTATATTTTGGGATTTATTTATTTATTTAGTTTTAGTCATTTAGTTATGGATTTCAGTCATTTTTAAAAGTTTTTCTTTTTTTTATATGTCTATACAAATGTTTATTCATTATTTCAGGTTTAGTTTTTCTTTGTACAATAAGCTTTTAAGATAAAATAAGATTTCAGATAACAAAAATGGTATGTTTATAGTTGCTAAATTTGATTCATTTACGTGAATCAGTGTCTTTTTCAAAACTCTGATTCATTATTAGTTTGCATCATCACTCAAAAACAGGTCTGTGTAGCACAAGCTGTGGTGATCGTGTTTGCTGTATTTAGCGGGTGAGCAGTCTTTCTCAAGAGCTGCAGGGACACATTAGTGCGTTTGTTGGAGAGCGACGCCAGTGCTATCAGCCGGGATCTTCTGGTCAAACAGAGGCAGACACTGCTGTCAACCTGACAGGCGCCACAGCCCGTCTCTCTCGCTCTGTCCCGGGCCAATGACCCCTCTCCTCCTCTCTTACCTGCACGGATCCTGCCTCTGTCAGGAATTCATCCACTCACACTTTCCCAAACACAGAAATCACCACCAAAACATGGCGATCGATATCCAGCCTTCACAAAAAGCCTAATGAAAGCAGGTGAAAACGTGACATAAGAGAGCAGAGAAAACAACCCATCAACAGCTCTGATTCAACCTAGTGAGCTACTGCAGGAACTAAAGCTGTTAGAAAGCTGGTTTGATGGTCATAGATGATTTTAGCTGGTCTAGCTGGTGTTTTGCTGGTTTTAAGCCGCTGTACTGTGAGCAAATCCCATCTAAAACCATCAAAACATAGCAACTTTATGCTATTTTCTTTAGCAATATAAGCAGCTGCCTTCATAGGCAGCATCACAACTGAAATGTGCTCGAAAGTGAGCCATTTTTGGAGTTATGTAATTTTTATATGTGTTATTTTGTATGCTATTCTTGTTAAAAACTAATAAACATTTTTTTTAAAAACATAAACATTCATTTTTTTCTGTTTTCTAAAGATTTTGCAATTCTATATAGTTTGTTTTTGTGCATAAATATGCATGTATGTTACTTTGCATATTATAAAACTGAAGCATGCATTTTTAATTTGAATTAAAAGATGATCACCCAAGAAAACTAAGCTATTTGAAATGCAAAAGATTTGATTAAAAAACAATTTGATTTGAATAGGTTTTGATGTTAGCATGTTGTTCAGCAAATAATGAGACTCTGATAAGCATAAAAACTGGGTAAAAAATGTATATATTTATACCATCCTTTTGGAGGCTTTTTTTAAGAGCTTGGTGCAATGCATTCTGGGATTGTCTCTGTAATTAAGATGCCTTAGAATGCCTTAGAATTCAGCATGAAAACTGTTTTTAAAAAATCTTAGAGGGCAATAAATATGCTGCTTACCTTTTAAAAAAATCTTTGTGCATCTTGTCTGATGTAGGGGGAAAATAATCCTAAATTAGAAAAGTACGAAATACTGTGCTGAGTTTGATGGATGTAGCTTTAAAGCTGAATAGTAACATAAAATAAAAAATAAAATTAAAAATATATAAAATAAAATACAAATAAAAAATATAAGGAAATAAGTAATGTCATATATAAGGAAAACATTATTTCATATATATATATATATATATATATATATAGATACCCACACACGC